GGCGCGGGTCCCGAGGGAGCCGCGGGTCCGCGGGACGGGCACTCGGAGCAACGCCTAGGCTTGGCCCTGGAGCTTTTTAACTGGACCCCGCGCTGCCGTGGGGCCCGGGGGAGCAAGTCCTTAGTAGTCACCCGAGTAGGTCAACAGCCCCTTACGCGCGCTGTCCCACCTTAGAACTGTCGCTACCCATCGAGGTCGTGCCTCCTGCGTTCTCAGGCCGGGGACCAGCCCCTAAGATTAATACGCGCCCCGCGGTGCCTGCGCGTCTGGCGCGTGAGCGTCCGGGCGCGTGTGGCCACACTAATTTACACATCCCCATCTGATGGGGCCGTCACTCTTCATCACTTTCTTTCAAAGGCCAACATGCACTTTTACTTTGGCCCAGAAATGTGCTTCGTTTTCTACGAAGACTAGGTGGGCTGAGATGGCCTCCCACCCCCTGCCCCTTGTAACACTGCAAATCCATGTGCGTTATGATCGCCTTTCCTTTATGTAAACTGGTTCCACTCTGCACTCTCTGTCATTCATTTGATAACACCCGTCTGGCACCTATCACGTCTTCTNACTGGTTCCACTCTGCACTCTCTGTCATTCATTTGATAACACCCGTCTGGCACCGATAGGTATGGATTCCTGGCCGGCGGGGCAGCTCTGCATCCCGGAGCAAGCCTTGAATGCAGTACCCTAGGCCCACCCCAAAAGAGCGCCTGCCCTGGCTGGGGGCTGGGGGGACGGGTGGGGGACCGGAGCAGTGAGGAGGGGGCAGGAGCGATCTGAAAAGTAGGTTGGTTTCCCAATGAGGTTTGGGTGACTTCCCAAATGCAATAAGGAACCATCTTCACAGGGAGCTAAGCTCTGGGACATCTAAAAAAACCTCTCTACACGTTTCTGAGGGAGAAGCCATGTGCTTAAGATCAACGGATTAATTTAATTAAAGGTTTAAATTTAGCCCTGGGGCTAATGGGTAACTCTCCATTGAAATTCCACTCCATTTCAAGTTCAGGAGAGTAAATTGAGTAATGGAGAGCAAATACACCCTGTCCAGAGATGTGCAGCCAACCTGGAGGATGAGACATGGGGGAGTTTCAGGTTACATTTGCTCAGGACAAACATGGCACATGGCCCTTTATGTGAACAATTGTTCATACTTTATTTTATGCCATTTTTAGGCCTTTTGAAAAAGTGAAGCCTGGTGTCTATTTATAGTAGCCTTACAGCAGTTAAGTCAAAGCTTGATGACCAGCTCTGTGAAATTTCATTAAGATTTTAATTACTTTGTTTAACTAACTACCTAGAAACTTCCAAGCTGCTTTGTTACAATTATTTTCCATGACCGCTGGCCTGGTTGTGCTGGCAGGCAATGTTCAATGAAAGACACCCAACTTGGTGCATGTAAAAGAAAACAGGTTTTTTTTATTATTACTAAAGTGATAAATGTTAATTGCAGAATATTTAGAGAATAAGATAAGCAAAGAGAAGTAGAGAAAAAAGCATCACTAACAATCTCATGTCCTATTAAAAGGACTGAAAATTTTTATTTTTGTCCTGTGTGGGTTTTTTTAAACAAAAGCAAAAGCAGGCTGTTTGTGCCCTGTGGTTTTTTGCTTGCTGTGTTGTGATCATCTTTCCATTTGGAATATTCTTCTATAGCATAATTTGAATGACTGCATAATGTTCACTTTGACAGGGAGACTATACTTCTTAAACCTGTGCCATACATTAATCATTTAGGTTGTTTCCACTTTTGCTGTGATAGAATGGTGATGACATCCTTTGTTTTTCTAAATCTTGCTACACCATTCAATATTATTTTCATAGGTTAAATAGATTCTGAGACAAGCGGCACACCATGTTTTTAAGGTTTTCCATCTAGAAAAGTTCCAAACTGATTTCCCACTCTCTGATTTGCCAGCATTGGATATTAACATTTTTTTCAGAAATATTTATTTCTTTGTTCATTCGATACAACTCTTTGCCTATTTTAAATGCCAAATGTGCAAGCTAGTTTAAAATATTTATTAAAGCATCAAACAAGAATCAATATCTACTTTACCTCCAAGCTGTTCATGTGATCCTCTTACCGGGTTATGACAGATATAATTTACTGTTCCCCTACTGTGTGCCAGCCACAGAATATTTCTAATCTTATGACCACCCTGGAGATGGGGTGCAGTACTATCAATATTTTTCAGATGAGGCTCAGAAAAATTAAATGATTTGCCCAAGGTAACCTATCTCTTAAAGTGGTTGGGCAGTATGCAAACTTTATTCCAAGACCCACACATGTTCTGACTCCCTCTGCTGGTGAGGATGTTTTATGGGAGGAGGCCAACTCCAGATTTAATTTTATATTTGCATTTCATTGTCAACTATAATGGAAATAATAGAAGCTTTGGAGCAAGAGGATCTGGGTGTCAAGAGCAAGTCTCTTCACCTCTCCACACCAGTTTTCTCTGTGGGTTATTCTGAGGTACAAATGAGACTGAACGAGAAACATTTTATAACCTTAAAGTACGTTTTTAAAAAATGTCTGGTTTTATGTAGGCCATCCTAATCTACTTCTTGAATTTTTCCAAATTTACTTATTTTTCACCTGTTTACTGATCAAATATTGAGCAACGTCTGTGGGCACAGCACCACCTTGCTACAAAAGGATAAAAAGAAGTGTGGCCTTTAACCCTTTTGTCCTTGACAGTGAAAATAGTGGAAAACTGAAGCTCAGGTCACATTTAAATAAAAATGCAAGGCAGACTCTGATTAAGTGAGCAATCTAACTGGGACTATGAATGTTATTATCAAAATGTGAAAAAAAGGAGCTCTTTATTTGAGGGGAAGGCCTCAGGCAAGAGGCAGGATTTAAGTTGAGCTGGGGGATAAAGAAGGGAAGGAGGGGGCCACTTCTAGGAGAGGAAATTAGGCAAACAAATTCCTCGTGGACTGCAGGCTTAGAGGACTAGAACTTAACATGTAATTCCTCTTGATCAGCCAAGGTTTATTTTCCCCCATTTACTTTCATATTGCCCCTTCCAAGTACCCATTCTGAAAACTTTTTTTGCATGCATGAACTGTTTCGATTGACACTTACAAGGGTTAATTTTACAAAGAAAGAAAGAAAAAGAACCTGAAAGTAATGGCTGGCCCTTAAAAAAAACCCAAAAAGCATAGTGGACCATGACGACTGAAAATTAGCTTATGTATGACAGTGGATATCACTCCTAACAAGCTATTTGATATAGCGGAAAACAAGGTTCTGATGCCAGCTTAAGTTCTTACAAGGTTGTGAGCTTCTGGGGCTCCAGGTTGGCCCCAGCATAGGCCTTCAGATGAAGGCTCCACTAGACTCTGCACAAATAGGCAGGCCTAGAGGACTGTGCCTCCAGTATAAAAAGCATTATTTTATAGTATTTGCTTTTGTTCAGGTCATTCTTACATCAGAATGGGATGGATGTGGCCACGTCCTGGGGGCACAGCACCACTTTGCCCACCGCTGGGAAGTTCAGCGGGACTAATTGGTGGTCCATAGTAACCTTCACTGATAGATATATGAAGAGACAGCTCACAGAAAGGGAAATGCAAGTGCCTAGCAATTGCTTGAAAGAAGGAGAAATAAGAGTAATGGACACTCTTATACTGCCAATGGAGTGTAGATGGAAACAAACTTTCTGGAAAGTCACTTGGCGATAGTATCAAGAGCCTCAAAAAGGTCATGATTGAGAGCATGAGCTTTAGAGTCAGACTGGCCAGGTTACATTTTGGCCCCACTATCATGGTTTTGAGTGGATTGAGCATGTTAATCTATTTATTTGTGCTTCAGTTTTGCCATTTGTGAAATGGGAGTGAAAACACCTTATAGCATTGTTATGAGGATTCAGTGCAGTAACAGTGCAGTAAAAGGTGGATACATAGTAAGCACTCAAGAATATAGTTTACTGTAACAATCCTAAAGGGCTATTGAGAAACATGATCAAAGATTTATGCACAAGAATATTCACTGCAGCATTGTTTGAAAGAAAGAATTCCTAAATGTGGAACAATGGAAAACTAAGTAAATTATGACTTACTCAATTGGATATTGTGCTTGTATTTTTTAAAAATTATCTTTATCAACCTTCCTTAATAACGTGAAAAATGTTTTTTGAAAAAATGCTAACCAAATAAAGCAAAACAGAAACTAGATCAATCACAATAGGCCAGCAGGTTGAATCACTGGCTAGTAGGATTACTGTGATTTCTACTTGCTCTTTTTTGCTTATCTAAGTAGAAATAAGTCATTCTAGAAATTGTTTCCCAATCTACAATTTAATAAACATTTTTAAATGCATGGAAATAAATCTTGGATAAAACTATGCTCAAATGTTAAATGGTGGAATTATTGGGGACTTGTTTTCAGTCTCTTTAGGAATATTAAGAGGCAACTAGCTTTCTCTGGCACGGATGGGTAGGCCGTGGTTAGGCAGAGAAGAAAGTGCGTGTTGGTAAAGGGGCCGTGTATGAATGAAGGTGCAAAGACAGTGATGAGAAAAGAAGTGGCTGGCAAAGCATAAACTTCCAGAACAGCTAGGGTAAAAGGATTACAGTGGTGAATAATTAATATTAAGTTGAAAAACAATATATAGCACCAGATCATGAGAGCCTGGAATCTAGAACAAGGAATTTAAACCCACAGCCCTATAGAGCCATGGGTAATTTTTAAACTGAAGCCAAACTGAAGGGAGCGTTAATTTGGCAAATATGAATATGCATAAGGGGGTGGAGAGAAAGCCTAAAGAAGTGGTGAGGGTTTTTTAAATTTATTCTTCCATTTTTGTATTAACCCACTCAGCATTCGTTGGGCTCCTGCTTTTACGCCATGCTTTCTGCTAAGCACCTACGTAGAGTAAGGCAAGGTCTCAGGCTGCAACCTGCTGAGAAGACTGGGCAAAGACAGCAAAGGCAACGAAGGTGGATTCCCTTTTATTTGGAAGCCCTGAAATGGTCATGTCTACCTACATACTTTGAATTCTCACCACAATCCTGCATTCTAGCCTATCTGACAGGTAAAGAGACAGAGGCTTAGCAAAGTTGAGCAGGGTGATGTGCTTCTGGTCACATGCTCTATCCCTGGATAGTTCCTTCTGTAACACCTTAAGGTGCAGGTTTGTGTCAGCAGGGAATGGCCTAATCCTAAGGGTCAGAGAGGCTCCACAGAGA